TTGGACTTAGAGGGAAGCCCATCAATTCCGTTGGGTGCCCAGGGTCGTCGAGTAATAAGAAGCTCCGAGGGGCAGCTGGTGGCTGACTGGTTTTCTTATTTGACGTGCCCACTGCAAGGCATCTGGGCAGCCCACGTGACGATCTGTCGGGCGACGTGGGTACCTGGAACTCTCGACTGCGTCCATCCCAGAGACGGGCACGTCATCCCGCAGTGTGTCTTGAGGGCCCCAGGGGCCCAGCACAAATTAGCGTTCCTGGACCTCTTCCTCCTGCTCCTCTTCATCCTCCTGGAAGATAAGAAGGACTCCCACATAACGGGATTGCTACTATGTGCTGAGCGGTGGCACCGAACTAACCTACTCATGCATCAGCAACTGCTAGCCTACTGGTGGGATTGGCTTCGCCCCAAAGCTCCTTATGTGGCCATGTTGGGCCTACGTTGTCTCAGAAGAGTGTTTGCCTCAGTCTACCGCAGAAAAATATGACAGCCACACGTTTTGTGTCAGAAGAGCGTTTAGGGAGGGGACTGTGCAACTGGATTCGTGACTCTCGTTGAGCCCCCATTGAAGGACTCGGGATGTCGATCAACATCGAATGCAATAACACATTGAGCTATTGATGAGAACCCGACACCCATTCAATGAAATTGACAGGATAGAAACCTACCGTACATCAAGCATTCTGACTCCCGTCGTGTTCTCTTGCTTCTGAGCTGACGTCGAAGATACACACCTTTACACAAAGAAAAACCGAACGAAGCACCAACCCGTGACAAGACTTGCCCAGACGCTGCGCGGTCCACGTTGCTTGACGGAATATCGTGCAGTTGAGTTTCGGCCTGTCCGATCCCTCCTTATCGGCCCCATCAGGTTAATAGTGCGGAGCGCACGAGGCACGACTAGAGTGGACAAGTCCTGCCCCCCTGCACGACCCTGAGGGTTCCGAGCGACGTCGTCTGTGCGCCTCCCACCTCGAATGTGTGACATCTGGTTTCGGTTCGTGGTAGCGCTACAGGCCTCGGAATCAATATTGGCAACACTCATGCCACATTCATCTGTGAACGCCTCCCCCTCCCCCCAATGTTCAAAGTTGGCGGTGGGTCTGATGAGTTGCACCTCGACCGCAGTCTCCCCGCGCGTACCAACTTTGAGTTTGGGGGGCAGGGGGGGTGTTCACGAATTGCTTCCCTCTACCGTATCTGCAGTCGTGCCACGGTGCATCGCTGAGCAAGCACACCAGAGGATTTAGTGAGCCAGGGCGCGCCGCATACCAGAAGATTTCGTAGGCCAAGGCGTGCCGCACGCCAGAGGATGTATTTCCGTCGGGCCGCCGTGCCCCCCAAGGTGGTGGCACCAACGAACCGGCGAACCGGGCCCATGAACGGGTTCAGGAACCCCCAAACCATATTACCGCAAATTCTCCTCCTCCCCCTCCTCCACCTCCTCCTCCACCTCCTCCTTCCCCTCCTCCTCCTCCTCCTCCTCCTCCTCCTCCTCCTCCCCTTCCCCCTCCCCCTCCCCCTCCTCCTCCTCCTCCTCCTCCTCCTGCTCCTCCTCCTCCTCCTCCTCCTCCTCCTCCTCCTCCTCCTCCTCCTCCTCCTCCCTCAACGGCGCGCGGCACATGTCCTTGCCGCCAGGCCCGACCACCTCGGAGGGGCCGGGGGGGGTAAACATTGAAGGATCGGATGCTCGTTCTGGGGAGCTCCCCGGGAACTCGCCACATTCGTGCGCCGATGTTGCATCGAACGATCGTTCACTCGAGTCGAGCTTGAGTCGAAATAATCGAACAAGTCCGTCAGGTGGGCCCCGTGTGGCATCCCCCCTTCTCCCCCGAGCACACATGCCGTGACGGCGAGGAGGAAGAGGCAGTCATGCTGGCCCCAAGTGCGGTGGAAGTGGGTGGGGGGGGGAGAAGCCCCAGACTCCGAAGTCCCACGTTTCCCTGCGGGCGGGACAGAGCGGGAGAACTGAGGGGGGGGCAGAGGAGAGGGTTTTTCTTGACGCGCGCCGTCGCGCGCGCATGCGGAAATCCTTCAAACACTTTAGGCTTCGCAGGGATTTCAAAATCGAATGCCGCAATGAACGTGTGAAAAACACATGGTGTGGCAACATCAATTTTCATACATACCCGCGCTCGCGCTCCTGCGAATTCTTAACAAACGCATGAATTTCAACCGATCCGTTAAACTCGGCCAAACGGGCCTCTCGCGCAGCACTGCGAAATCATTCGAACACGCTTGCGCGAATGCTTTGGGGGGGGCGGGGGGGCACGATCCGTGTCAAACCATAGCGCGCGGACCACTCTCGCGCGTCGGCCGCGGAGGCATGTCGAACTCCTTCAAAGACTTCCACCAACGACGCGAGGACGCCGTCATTGTCGTCGGCGCGACCAACATCGGCGCCGTCACTGGCCGTGCCGTCGTCGTTGACCCTCATCGTCACCAACATCGCTACTATCATCATCGCGTCTACCGTTGTCGACGTTGCCATGATACCGCGCCCATCCGAGTCGCCGACTCGCAATGCAGTGCTCGCTGGGAAGTGCCCAGCGGTCATCGCCACCGCGGCCGCGTCGGTCGCGCCGAACTAGCTGGCCGCTGCGCACGCGAGCACGCGCGCCAGCGCGGCCGCGGCAATGCACCTGCCAACGCCAAGCACTCGCGCAATCGCCGCTGCATAGGTTTTGCAAACCAAGTTTCGGGTGGGCGGGTCGGATCGGTTCTGCAGGTGTATCAAGCCAACCCACTCAGATTGCGAATCCCTAGTGCGAACACGGAAAGTTAGTTAGACGAGGCCACGTCTTCATTGTGTTGTTAGGTTCGGGTCTTTTTTGCTCCCGATGAGACGAGCCCCCCCCCCAAAAAAGAAAAAACGAGGGAAGAGCAGTGGTAGCGGTAGTCTTCCTCTCTCCTGTTTCGTGCCCCCGCCCCCCCGAACAAGGACGCCCCTGCGCGGCCGCACGGCGGGCAAGACGCGTATCCACAGCCACTGCGTCTTGGAGCGTCGGCTTCCCTGCCCCAGAAGCCAGAGGCGCTCTGGAGGTGTAAGAGCATGTGGCCCCTGGAGGCTAGATGCTTGTCCACATCCACTGCGCTCTGGCCTTTCGGCGCCGCTTCCCAGCAAGCCCAATACGCAGTGGACGTGGCTCTGAGTCTTGCCCGCAGAACAGCAGCAGTGGCACCTCCTCTGCCTCCTCCCTCGTGCAGCCTCCCCCCCGAAATAAGAAGGCCGCCCCTGCGCGGCGGCACGGCCTCCTCGCAGGCGTTGACCAGAAAACAAGCGACACCACCCCACCTACGGCCCCAGGTGGCTTCGCGTATACCAGGAAATCAGGCGTGGGTTTTTGCGTGGTATGCGCTACGGCGCCCCATGGTTGAGCAGGGACCGGCCGTCCCGGAATTCCTATGGTCCTACCACGAATTTCCTTAGAACCCCACAATCTTCTAACAACAACAATGTTCTTGGAACATTAGCCCGATGTGTTAAACCAAGACAGTCTCCGCCAGAAATGTTCCAAGAACACTTCGTGGGAACCACAAAAAAAAAGGCTCTCAGAACATTGCCTGGTAGGGCTATAGGCGAGCCAGGACGCTTCGCCACTGCTTGACATGGGCCGTAGCGCAACATGGAGGGCCGTTGGGTGGGGTGGTGCCGTCCCGGACATGCGACGTCCTCATTTTTTCAGGACGGCGTCCCCGGAAGTCCCGGCCCTTTCCCCGGGGCCGGTTTCTCGTCCTGAGTCGTTTTTTGACGGTCCCGAGGCCCGGCGAGGGCCCCCCCGAGGCCGAAAATAGGCAAAAACCTCCCGTCCTGATTTGTTTTACGACGCGATCATGTCTGGGGTCGACTCTCTGGCCGACCAGGCGCCGAGCAGCGCGCGAGGCCGCGCGCCCGGGCGCTGCACGACGCCGGCCGCGTGCCCCCGACCGGCCAGGTGCGCGCTGCGCCTCCGCGCGTGCCCGCGCGCGCGCGGGGCGGCGCGCCTCGAGCTGGCCCAGTGCACGGCCCGGGGGGGCCGGGCGGGAGAGGAGGCCGCTCTCGGCCTCGGCCCGCTGCGGCTCCTGAGCCCGCTGCGGCTCCCTCGATCGGTCTGCTTCGGCGTCGGCTTCGGCTTCGGCGTCGCGCTCTTCGCGCTCGGCCATATGCAGCCCATGTCGTCGCGGCCCGTCTCGGTGCCGGCCCGAGTTCTGACGGGCCGAGCCGAGACGCGCCGCAGCCGATGCGGGCCGACGCCAAAAGGAGCCAGGCGCCAAAACGGGCCGAACGCCGAAACGGGCCTGAAGCCGAATCGGGTTCTTGTCCCCAGAAAGACCCCGACCTCCTCGCGTTGTGAAAGAAACGCGAGGGGCGTTTTTTCACCCATTTTCAACCTTCAAGGGCCCTCGCCAAGCCCCAGGCCCGTCAAAAACAACCCATGACAACGAAAACTGTCCTGGGAAGGGGTCCATACCTCTGAGGCCTTGGGGGAGCAGAAAGATACCGACATTTCTTCTCTCTGGACAGAGGCCTCCCAAGCGGTGCCCGAGCTGGTGGGGTCGGAGGATCTCGCCGACGTCGGTGATGCATCATCGACGCTGGCGATGCGCCGCGCCGACACGACACGAGCCTGCCGTATCCTTCCCAACCTCTGACCACTGGCGCTGTCCAGATCGCCTCCTCGCGCGCGGGAGTTGAGCAAGGACCGACAATCCTGGCATTTCTGTAGGTCTGGCACGAGACGTTCTCAGAACAAACGGGAGTTCTACGAGCAAGAAACGCATTCTTAGACCATGAAGCCGATTCGTCCAAACAGGACGCCCCAGAAGGAAAATTCTCGGGTTGGAAGGACGAGGTTGGGAAGATACGGGGCACGACTGTGTAATAAGCACGCTCGACACACGGGACAATACGGGTGATCTGATCGCCTCTCCCGGCCCCGTCCTCCCACCCCGGTCATTGTCTCTCTTGGAGGCCTGGAAATGGGCACCAACACCAGTGTAACACCAGCACAAGGGGTTGCCTCCACATGGGGAAGATGATCCTGAATTTCGGTGTTGGCGGTAATATTTCGGTCACCTTGGAAGCCAAAATGTTACCACCATCACCGAGATCGGGCTCGTCTTCCACACCGCCGATCTCGGTGTTGCCGCAACCTCTAGGCCTGCGACTCTCTGGACGCCTCGCCACTGCTCGAGGGCGCAGCGCACCCGCAAGCCCGACGAATCGGCGCGGCTTACCGCGAGCAGCCCAGCCACCGCGACGTGGGCGGCGCGCGCCCCCGCGTGGTCCCGCGAGCCCGGGCTCTCTCCGACCCGCGGCGCTCCCCCTCGCGGAGCGGTCCATGGCAGGCAAGGGGGGCGGGCGAGGCTCGAGCAACGCCTCCGGGAGGCGCGCCGCCGCACGTCAGGCAGCGGCAGGGCCGCGTCTACGACCGTTTCGGGAGGCCTTGATCTTGAGAGTGAGAGCGGACAAAAAAAACGGCTCGCCGAAAGGAGCACGACACGGCTCAGCTCCAGGGACTAAAGCAGAAGCCCGAGCCGGAAAAATAACGGAGACGGAACAGGAACACGGAAAAAGGCGGCGGAACCGGAGAACAACTGCAGAACGAAACTGGAGACAAACTGGCCTGTCGTTCCCCGAAACAACGGAAAGAAGAGACAACCGTGACCGGCGGGCTGAGGGAACCGCCCCTGACGACCCACCAAGGCCGATCCCGATTCCCAAGCGGTGGATGGCTTGCGTGCGACGCCAGACTTCGAATGCCGCGCGCGAGTCATCACCACTACCGCGCTAGGGGGTCATGGTCGGCCTGGAGGACGTGGTCGGCCTGGAGGGGGGGGTCGTCAGGGGCGATTCCCTCAGCCCGGCGGCTGTGATTGTCTTTGCTTCGTTCCGTGAGTGCGTAAGCACAAGTTCCTGGAAGTACTGTTGCCATCCTCTCCGAAAAGGTCGGATACGCATTCCCCTTCGAACGCACGTTTGCCAAGGTCTGGTGTGTAGATACTGTCACCTGTGTGCGTTGTTTTTTGTTTGCATGCCGGGCATGATGAGAGAAAATCAAACACATGCTTCGACTGAGCACATGTCCCAACACCCGAAACTAGTAGAACGCTCATGGCTGCATCAAGATCTGTAGCTGGCCTGTCATTTCCGTCTCACGTCATGTTCTGGCACTCCGGGCTGGGCCGTCAGGGCATGTGGGGCTGGCGGGCGGCCAGGCTGGCACAAGCCAGCGTCAATCTGATTTGAGAGTTGGTGGGATAAAAACGAGCAAGCAAAACCGCACACGGAGAGCAAGCCGAATGCAAGGTGATAGCAAACAAACGAGAAACTCGAGGGCACGACTGTGCAACACCGATCTAAAATCAAACAGGAGGCACGTTCAGGGGAGGCAACAACAATTAGCCTGGCGAAGGACCCAACCATATGCAGTTGAGAGTACCGCAATTGTGAATATCTTCTTCGGTGGCGCTCCCTATGGGGCCACGAGCCGTATGAGGGGTGTGCCGAAATGCGTGGCAGTGTACACAACACGAACGAAGACGATAGGTCCGAATATGAAAGCTTGAGCGCGTGCGAGTCGGATCGCGAGCGAGTCTGATTATGAATGAATCTGCGCGCGATTGATTCTATTCGCATGAATGCGTGCATGGATACGCCCAGTGTAAATGTATGTATACGACTGTGAACAGTTTGGGTCTGCGTGACTCTCGGTACTCGTGACTCTGAGCGTCGCCTCTGCAGGGGGCTTCCCTGGGAACCCCGACGGCAGCGCCCGCGCGCCGCGACGCCCATGTCGGCACGCCACACACCTGGTGTGCGGGACGCATGCGGACGGCAGCACTGGGGCCTTCGGTGGAGCTCCCTGTGGGGCCACGAAACGTGTGAGGGGTGTGCCGAAATGGGTGTGCGGGACGCATGCGGACGGCAGCCATGGGGCCTTCGGTGGAGCTCCCTATGGGGCCACGAAACGTGTGAGGGGTGTGCCGAAATGGGTGTGCGGGACGCATGCGGACGGCAGCACTGGGGCCTTCGGTGGAGCTCCCTGTGGGGCCACGAAACGTGTGAGGGGTGTGCCGAAATGGGTGTGCGGGACGCATGCGGACGGCAGCCATGGGGCCTTCGGTGGAGCTCCCTGTGGGGCCACGAAACGTGTGAGGGGTGTGCCGAAATGGGTGTGCGGGACGCATGCGGACGGCAGCACTGGGGCCTTCGGTGGAGCTCCCTGTGGGGCCACGAAACGTGTGAGGGGTGTGCCGAAATGGGTGTGCGGGACGCATGCGGACGGCAGCACTGGGGCCTTCGGTGGAGCTCCCTATGGGGCCACGAAACGTGTGAGGGGTGTGCCGAAATGGGTGTGCGGGACGCATGCGGACGGCAGCCACAGCTGGGGGCCACGGTGCCTGTGGGGCCTTCGGTGCCACGAAACGTGTGAGGGGTGCCGCATGCGTGGGGGTGCGGGTGTGGACGGGGTGTGCTGCACTGGGGCCTTCGGTGGAGCTCCCTATGGGGCCACGAAACGTGTGAGGGGTGTGCCGAAATGGGTGTGCGGGACGCATGCGGACGGCAGCACTGGGGCCTTCGGTGGAGCTCCCTGTGGGGCCACGAAACGTGTGAGGGGTGTGCCGAAATGGGTGTGCGGGACGCATGCGGACGGCAGCCATGGGGCCTTCGGTGGAGCTCCCTATGGGGCCACGAAACGTGTGAGGGGTGTGCCGAAATGGGTGTGCGGGACGCATGCGGACGGCAGCACTGGGGCCTTCGGTGGAGCTCCCTGTGGGGCCACGAAACGTGTGAGGGGTGTGCCGAAATGGGTGTGCGGGACGCATGCGGACGGCAGCCATGGGGCCTTCGGTGGAGCTCCCTATGGGGCCACGAAACGTGTGAGGGGTGTGCCGAAATGGGTGTGCGGGACGCATGCGGACGGCAGCACTGGGGCCTTCGGTGGAGCTCCCTGTGGGGCCACGAAACGTGTGAGGGGTGTGCCGAAATGGGTGTGCGGGACGCATGCGGACGGCGGAGGAGAGGAGAGAGGAGGAGAGGAGGTGGGACGCGGGGCGCTGTCTCTTCAAAACGAGGACCCAACACCACAGGATGGTTGGGAAAAACACAGAATCGGGCGAACGAAGCGCAAACTTCAAGCTGGTTAGAGGCAAATCACAAATCAACGAAATGAGTTCTCAAAAGCTTAGGATTGGCCTGGTGCCCCCCGGAAAAAACATGATTTGTGGAGGCATTCCTGCGGAACTTGAGGTGTAGGCTTGCCACCGTAAGCTTGCCACGGGCCATCTTACACATCATACGAAGTAAATCCCCCGTAAGACAAGCCTGGAGAAGCTAAGGTTAAAAGCTCTGGATGCTAGGAGTGAAGAGCTACCCATAGGGCGCATCGAGCTGAGCCAGGCTCTTCTCGTTCTTGATCTGGGACGTGCCGCAGCCAAGGAGTGCTGAGACCCAGCTCAGAGGATGCAGCCCAGACCAACGCGATGGCCACCCCAGGTCACCGCCTCCAGAGTCCACGGATCCGAGCGGATCCCATCGCATCCTCCTCGCCGCCACTGCCCGCTTCCTGCTCCTCTGCCTGCTGCCCCTCCCGCCCCGCCCGCATCCTTGCCGCCGTCGCCCAAGGTCACGCTCGGTTCACAGCTCGGCCCTCGGAAATGTGGCGGCCCCCTCCGGGGACACCATCAAGGTGCCGATGCCGCCACTCCCCGGACCTCCCCCGGGGTGCGCACCCAGCGGCGCCGACGAGGGCGCACCCAGCGGCGCCGACACGGGGGCAGACGCGGGCACGGCAGCGGCCTCGGGAGCTCTGCTCCTCCGCGGAGCCTCCTCCCCCTCCCGAGGAGCGGCGCTCCGCCGCCCACCGCTCGAGAGAGACGGGCCCTCGGAAGCCCAGATGGGGGCCCGCCGTCGCGGTCCAGAGGCCGTGCGCCGCGAGGGGTGCGGCGGATCGCCGAAGCAGGCGCGCGGATCAGCAGCTCCCAGGTCCTGGTCCGCAGGTCGAAGCGCCACAGGTCGCCGTACCTGACTCACCGAGTGGCGGACTGCCCTGTCTTGAGGACAGTCGTGGTGGCGTTGGGAGGACGGGGCTGGGAGGACGAAGGAAACGAGCAGTAGCATCTGGATGCAAGTGACGCTACCTTCGGGTGCCTTCGGGCAATGACATCCTCATCTCTCCCAACCACATCCTCCCAACCCGATAACTGTCTTCCCGATACTGGCGCCTGGCAGGCTGAGTGCTTCCCCAGCCTGACACACACACACACACGAACGGAGCGTGGATGGATTTCAACATGCGGCTCTCGCCTCAGCACCGCGCGCTATCGTCTCAAGCAATCGCATAATCCAGACGGAACAAGGTGAGGTCGTTGTCAACATGAGACTATCACCAAAGCTCCGCGCATACTCGTCTCGAGCGCTTCCAACAGTTCCACGGGTGAAGATGAGATCATCTTCTCTCGCATCAGAGGGCGTGTATCTGAGGGTGTTCGTTCGCACGCTGAGCCATTATTATTTTGAGCTGAGCTTGTCAATGTGGCTGAGCGTGCTCACGAGAAGAGGTGGATCGCCCCAAGGAGGGATGCTTTGCGTGCATCTCCGCTGGCAGCTGCGGCCCAATCCATGGGGAGAGCTAAGCAGATAGACTGGCGGCATCCCCTGGGGATTCCGACACGAATTCGAAGGATTTGTCAAGGCATCCTGAGGACGCCCCGAGGATCATCTAAGTAACCCAACGCTCTAGCCCCAGGGTGCATGGGGAGCAATCCCGAAATACTGAAGACCCATGTGCCTCTTGAGACACCTCAGGGAACCATCAGGGGTGCTAAGGAGTACCCCGTAGGATTGCTTCGAGATTCCTTCAGCTCCCCCTCGAATTGTCAAGGGTTGCTGAGGTCATCGATGGAAATTCCCAGGAAGAAACAGGGATCCTCATCATCCTCTCCTTCCTCCTCCTCCTCCTCCTCCTCCTCCTCCTCCTCCTCCTCCTCCTCCTCTTCCTCCACCACCTCCTCCCGTCCCTCCTCAGCCTCATAATCATTCTCCTCCTCCGTTGACTACGGATGTGGATCTGGATGTTGGTCAGCACGACCCACATGCACACTGCGCTAATCGACCACCCCGCACCGAGCGTGTGTGATCTTTGCGTGTATCCCGAGGTACACGGTCAGCGCGGCCTACTTGCCGTGCGTTCACATCTGTCTGTCGAACCCTCTGGACACGCATGATGAGCGCGGCTTCCCAACGGCAGGCGGATGGAAGGCGGATCCCTTTTAAAACGGGGCCTTCGACCGACAAAGACTGACTCTGAACCTAAGACACGAAGACTGACAATGCGCAGCAGTTGCAAGGATGGAAGGTGGCTGCTCCTCAGCGCCAACCTCTCGCCAGACTGCTGCGTGCTCATCACAAGGAGCTGAAATATTGTAGCACGGAATATGGAAACCTGAAGACAACTTCAATGATGGAAGCAAGCAAACAGCACTGCGCTTTGAGGGCACATCGGCAGAAATAACACCGTGCAAATGTTTACTGGCAAAGTGTTGAAAGCGGACCGGCGGCGCTGTGAAGCAATGAGAAGACCATGGCCACAACAACGGCGACGAGGAGACAAGAGGGGGACATGGCAGAACATCTGGAGGGCACTGGGGAAGAACAACACACCGATACCGCTACTCCCCGGACCTCTCCCAGGCTGAGTTCTAACCAGCCGCCGCGATGCGGACTCTCCAGACGAGCAGCGGCATCGGTGCATGTTAATCCTCCACGGGCACTCCGTTCTGCAGCGGGGGAAGGGGCTTAGCTTGCCGTCGCTCGGACGTCCATTTCCCCTGCATGCTTCGGTCTCGTGCGTATTCTTTTCCTCGATGATCCAGGATGGTCCTCGATGGCTCTCGCCGAAAAAAAATGCACACGTCAGAGCGATGCCAAGCTAGTAGGATCAGCAGCACTGGCGCCACCGGGCCCCACGGGCGCGGGGAAGCCCCAAGCCAGGGCGGCCACGGCGGGTGTTTCGAGCCTGGGCCGCCCTCGGCCGCGGGAGGAGGGACAGCAGGGGCCCCAGGACACACAAATAAATACACACAAATAAGATGACTTCCCATATTTCCCCATATGTTCTTAGTGTTTGTCTTCCCCCCCACTTCCCACATTGCCCCATATTTTCCTGGGAGTGGACGATTCATTTTGTCTGTGTGTGTTTTCCCCTCCTGAGGGACAGCAGGGGGCAGGGAGCGGGGGCGGGGCGGGGCAGCCGACCCCCGTGCGGAGGAGCGCCGCCCTCGCCGCGACGCCGCGGACGAGGAGGAGCCCCGGAGCGGCCCTGGCTGCGCGCGAGGCTCCGCCAGCGCCGCGCCGCGCCGCGCGGGGGCGCGGGAGGCGTCGCGCTGCAGAGCCTCGGACCCGAGCTCGGCGGCTGCAGCGCGAGCCCGAGCTCGGCTGCTGCGCGGAGGGAAGGGGGCAGCACGCGGGGAGGGAAGGGAGCGGGGGGGCCAGGGGCCGCCGGCGCCGCCCGCCGTGGGCACGGAGAGGTCCCTCTGCAGGAGCAGCCGCGGGCGTGCGCAGGGGAGGGGTGGCCAGTGGCAGCCTGGGCGGCGCGAGGAGGAAGGGCAGTGGCCGCAGGCAGTGCGGAGGCCGTGCACAAGAGCAGGAGGCGAGACGGCGATCGCTCGATTAGATCAGCTAGAAGGATGCAGACCGCGAGAAGCAGTAGACGGAGCCGGAGCCCAACGTGGATACTGGTCCGACCTTGCCTGGGCAGCGTGCCCTGGACGGAATTCCAGCTCGGTCACGGCTCAGCGCTCTGGGCTTCGCTCAAGGTGCAGGAGAATGTGTCCAGGAGTTTGACACATCATTCCTACACGCGAAAGACGGAAGTCTCTTGCTGCACGGTGGCGTGCCGGAGACGGGATGGCTCTGCACTTGTGTTGTGGATGCCACGGCAATGGACACCCTAACAGTCCTAGCATTGAATCTAAAATGTGTTTGACATGTAGGAAAATGCTCTGCCCAGGTTTTAAGCATGTGTTTCTCATGTTTAAAACGTGTGTTCACATATTTAAAACATGTTTAACACATGTTCTGGACATCTGGAAATGATTTGGCAACATGCTTCCTCTCCATTGATCGCCCGCCACAACACTTGTGGGGTACGGGACTTGCTGCACGACCCTGCTACCATGCGACTATGGAGCCGTGTCGGAAAGGCAGGCCGTGGCAAAAGACAGTGGGAGACGAGGCGGCACTGGCAGCATGCGAGGCCGCTGGCGAGCAGTCGGGACCATCTGGGCCCAAAGAGCGCGAAGGACAGCATTCGTCGAACGGTGAGTGCAGTGCGGAAGAGTTTCTTAATACGGTAAAGACGTCTGAAAGTTCCACGCAAATCGAGCCCTGGAGGCACGATCCCTGTGACGGATGTGTAAGAATTGGCCAGTCGACGCCGTCTCGGGGCCCAGGCGTTGTCGGCGGTGGACAAACCTCCCTTTAGCAAACCTCCCTTTAGTGCAAACGGCCTGGGACCGAAACCTACGGACCTGGACCCGCAAAAATGACGGCCGCGACGCCCTCTCGCGAACCGAAAGCGGCCAATTCACTAATCGACGTGTCAGGGCAGGAGGTCTGTCCACCCCCGACGGATGTCTAAGAGTTAGCCGGTCGACGCCGTCTCGGGGCCCAGGCGTCGGAGGTTCAGAAAAAATGCTGGCCCTGGGAAGGGGGCGGAGGCCTGGGCCGCAGGGGTCCACACGTTTTCTTCGGTACCAGAAGAAGGGAGGAGGGCGAAGGTAGGAGGCAGTGCGTTGCATCTTGCATTGCGTGGCAGTCGGCTAACCAATTGTCAAACCGTCCCCCTCCTCCTCCACCCCCTCCTCCTCCTCCTCCTCCTCCTCCTCCTTCTCCTCCTCGATCGTCGTGCTCATTCTCCTTCTCTATTCTGCTGGAGTGTGGATCCTCGACTTCCTGCATCCTCCTCCCGTCCTCTTCTTCCTCCTCCTCCTCCTCCTCCTCCTCCCCCTCCTTCCTTCAACTCCTCTCCTCCTCCTCCTCCTCCTCCTCCTCCTCCTGCTCCACCTCCTCGTTTTACTCCTTCTATCCCTTGAAAGTGGATTATTCCTCCTCCTCCTTCGCCTTCATTCCTCCTCTTCCGCCTTACTCATGTTACTTAATCCTCGATCCTACATCCTCGATCCTCCTCCTCCTCCTCCTCCTCGGCACTCGGTCCTCGGTTCTTGATTCCGTATCTCCCGACCAACCAACCAAACAACCAACCGACCAACCATCCAACCAACAGAGCAACCAACCAACCAAGCAAGCAACCAGCCAATCCATCAGCCAACCAGCCATCCAACCAACCAACCAACGAACCACCCACCCAACCAACAAACCAACCAACCAACCGACCAATGAAGCAAACAACCAATCGACCAACCAATCAACCAACAGAACAACCAACCAACCAACCAACCAACCAACCAACCAACCAACCAACCAGCCTACCAACCAACAGAGTAATCCATCGACCAACCTGCAGACCACGCAACCAACCAACCAACCAACCAACCAACCAATCGACCGACCAGCTGACCAACGAACCAAACAATTTTGGCACAACCCTCACACGGATCGCGCCACGGGGACCAGACATTTTTTGCTGCAGCCCTCAACAGGAATTTCGAACTCTCAGAAGAAGCCCTCAGAAGAAATGCAATTGAACCTGCTTCCGTACTTGTCCTCATCTGACCTATGGCTGGGCCAAGGACACAAGAGCATCCTTCAATAACATGAGACCCTCAGCTGGCCAAAATACACAGAACATCCAAGGGTACTCTCACCAGGACGCACAAGAACATCCACATACACGAAGAACATTAGGGCACCTTCCCGAACCGACCTCGATCTTATAGTTACCTCAGCACGACCGTACTTATTCCTCCTCTGACCTACTATCCCCCCCCTCTTCCTCCTCATCCTACCTTTCCTGAATCCTCCCCTCCCAGGCACCGCCCCCCGCCCTCCTCCCACCCCATGTCCCCCTGAAGCCCACCAGAGCCCCCCTGAACCCCTCAGAATCCCCACCTCCCCCCGCGACCTCACCCTTCCAGGACGCTCTGAGAACGTTCCAGAACGCTGTGGAACGGACTTATCCTTGTCCTAGCTCGGTCCGACTCCTCCCCATCCTCCAAATCTTGCCCCTCCCCCTTTCCATCCTCCTCCGAACCCCACCTGTAACGCGGTCCGACCGGAATTTAGGGGCGGTTGCAGCAGTGGCGAAGAAGCCCCCCGCGGAAGACCCCCGCGGAAGCCCACGAAGACGAAACACATCAAACTCTACATTAACCTCATCCTCCTCTCCTGCTCTTCCTCATCCTCATCCCCATCCCCATCCTCATCCTCATCCGCATTCTCATCCTCATCCTCGTCATCATCACCCTCGACCTCCCCCTCTAAGACGAACGTACTGTACGACAAGGACAACCGTGGGCAAGCATATCAACAATGAGACCCAGCGGATCGCGAGGATCCGCTGGGCGCTGCGGCCGCTCCAGAGAGCTCCGGAGCGCCAGCGAGCGACCCGAATGTCCCTCTCCCGAGCTTGCCCGACCTGCCCCCACTGCCAAGAATCTGGCGATGTGATTTCCAATCCGCGCCCCCGGACCTCCCGACTGCTTTCCCGGGCGCAAATCGTCGCCCTTAAATCCTTTTCTGACGGCCCCAGGGGCCCGCAAACCTCCCCTCGAGGCCGAGCTCAAGGGAGAGCAAAGAGATGCAACAAAATCATGAGGCGTAAACACAATCACGGGGCCTCCCCCTCGAGACGTCACCGGCGCCCTTGGAAAACGCAGCCCGGTCGCGTGGTGCCCGCATGCCCTCGACCGCCGTAGACCACCTCGCGGGCGGTGGGGTGGCGACGGCTGGCGACGACGGCCACGACGCCGAAAACGAGGAGAACGACGACGAAGACGACGAAGACGGCGGCGGCGGCTGCTGCGGTGCGACGCCGGTTGGCGACAACGACGACGACGACGACGACGACGACGACGACGACGACGACGACCACGACCACGACCACGACCATGACGACGGCCACGACGACGACGGCGGCGACGACGGCGGCGGCGGCGGCTGCTGCGACGCTGACGACGCGCGTCGCTGGCTGGCGGCGAATTCGGCGATGACGACGACGACGATGACGCCCAGCGGCGGGGGGCGGCCCCTCCCCGACCTCTGCTGGAGCGCACTCTGGCCAGAACTTCGAGACGGATCCAGCCGTGGAGACGAGGGCGCCCTGGAAGCCATGGCAGGCCCCCAAAAACGCTCGAGCATTGATGATTGATGCTCGATCCTCGACGACGTCGGCGACGAAAAGAGTCCCTCAAAAAAATGTCTCCAAATCCCTCGCGGGGTCCATTCTGACTGGCATTTCGAGCTGCGTCCAGCCGTGACGACAAGAATCTGAAGGAACGTCCAAACACGTCGATCCAGCGCAACAAGAACCCCGATAAATATAAACTTTCGGCCTGGTGGCGCCTCCGGCGCCGCTCGTGGCTCGCTCTGCGCAATACGGAGGGGGGTCCAATGCCGATCCAAGAAATCCGCGCGGAGTTTTTCTTCGACGATCGACGATCGACGACGACGACGACGACGACGACGACGACGACGAGGACGACGATGACGGGGGCAGCCGCGACGGCTGCAACTACGACGCACGAGAGATTCTTCGACGACGGCGGCGGCGAAGACGAGAAGGCGCCCGTCGACCAAGGTCGGCCGGATGCGAGCACTGCGCCAGCACACGCCCAGAGACCTGCAAGCTGACGACGACCACGACACGACGACGACCACGACGACCATGATGACGACCACGACGACGCGCCGGCGCGCTTGCCATGGGGGGCGTCCAAGAAGAATGGGTGTCCAAGAGGACGTGGTCGCAAGTCAGGGCCCGAGGCACGTGCGCGGCGCAGGGGAGGGCCAAGGAAATCCCTGAGACAGTCAGAAGGGGCCATGAAAACCATGGTAAAGTCAACCCGCGGCCAGGAAGCCGATTCCAGGCAGAAAACATAGGACAATTTGCCGTCGCGCGTTTTCTTGACGACGCCTGGATCTGAAGTCTGCCCCCACGGACCCATTCTGGAAGGCGCTCAGGGTCAGAAATTCGAGGCGACCCTGGCTGTGCCGACGAGAAGCGCCCAGGAGGCCCCCAGAGGCGTGACAAACGCGTAGGAAACTCCATCCTCGATGGCCGAGGACCGGCGGCTCCGGGGGGACAAGGGACGCAGTGAAATGACTCACTGCGTGGAGCTCCCCAAATGTGCATCTCATGTTTATGTCATGCCATAGCGAGCGTCTGTTCATGAGCGCTTGACTATAATAGCTCGTCCACGTGGGCCACAGGGCCGACGAAGACGAGCGAATCCTAATGCGAGTGAGTGGGTATGAGTCAGTGAGCTTTGTGTATGACTGAATATGAGCCTCCCATTCATTCCCCCTCCTCAAACTGGTCGCGAACGGGCCCGTGAAAACACCCCTGGCGGCTCCCCTTAGGGGTGCTGGAACCAGCGCCCCGCCTGCGACATCCTCACAATCTGCTCTGAAAGCCAAGGATGTTGGGCATGAAAACGAGCACACCGCCTGAGACATCCCCACAAACTGGCCGCGAACGGGCCCGTGTCCTACCCCCTGGCGGCTCCTTTTAGGGGTGCTGAAACCAGCGCCCCGCCTGAGACATCCTCAAAATCTGCTCTGAAAGCCAACGATGCTGGGCATGAAAACAAGCAAACCGCCTGAGACATCCCCACAAACTGGCCGCGAACGGGCCCGTGAAAACACCCCTGGCGGCTCCCCTTGACAGGTGCTGAAACCAGCGCCCCGCCTGAGGCATACTCAAAATCTGATCTGAAAGTCAAGGTTGTTGGGCATGAAAACAACCAAAACACCTAAGACATCCCCACAAACTGGCCGCGAACGGGCCCGTGAAAACACCCCTGGCGGCTCCCCTTAGGTGTTCTGAAACCAGCGCCCCGCCTGAGACATCCTCACAAACTGCTCTAAACGCAGACGAGTCTGCCCACCAAAACAGCCAAACCGCCTGAGACATCCCCACAAACTGGCCGCGAACGGGCTCGTGACAACACCCCTGGCGGCTCCCTTTAGGGGTGCTGAAACAAGCGCCCCGCCTGAGACATCCTCGCAAACTGCTCTAAACGCAAACGAGTCTGCCCACCAAAACAGCCAAACCGCCTGAGACATCCCCACAAACTGGCCGCGAACGGGCCAGTGAATACACTCCTGGCGGCGCCCCTTAGGGGTGCTGAAACCAGCGCACGTACGTACGCATGTATGTATGTATGCATGTATATAACCCGACTCCATCTATTCAGCGTGGGTTGTATGTTTCACAGCGCGCACTTTTGCGTAGCAGTATAACTCTTGACGCTTCGCGTATCCCCACCAGCTACACCACGCATCGCGTGTAATTTGCCGTGTTCCGTTGCCCCGGGCATCGCTGTTGCCGCCAGTCCGTTGTCGCGCGGCCGCCGACCAAAAAAGTATCCCCACCAGCCCATCCAGAAACAATCAGAAATGGAGTTGGTAAATCAGGGACGGCTGGAAGCATGCAGTTGCGCGGCCGTCTTCAGAAACAAGGATCACACGTAGCTTCCCGCACTGAAGTTTAATCTGGAACCGGTGCAAAATACGATGTGGTGTTCCCCGTGGAAAACGTCTCTAGCGCATGTGGCTGTATCCACCCTGGGCCATGAGAAACATGGATCACACATCGCTTTCCGCAGCGAAGTTTAAGGTGGAAACCAGAGCAGGATACGCCGGGGTGTTCCCTGTGGTAAGCGTCTCTGGCGCAGGTGACTGTATCTATCATTCGTCGCACTTGTCGCACAGCTGAGATATCCCCATATGCATCGTTGATGATCTCTGCGCCCGCACTGAAGTTTATCTTAAACTCGCGTGCGGCTGCTGGTGGTGGTGGTGGCGGTAGTGGTGATGCTGCCGGTGTTGCTGCTTGTGGTGCTATGTTGCCATCTTGGAGCCATCTTGGAGCAAGTGGTGCTGCTGGTGCTGGTGATGCTTGGGGCCATCTTGGGGGTAAGAGGAGGAGTATGAGGAGGAGGAGGAAGAGGAGGAGGAGGGGGAGGAGGAAAAACATAAAAAAGGAGAGGAGGAGGAGGAGGAGGAGGAGGAGGAGGACGAGGAGGAGGAGGAGCAGGAGGAACGCGGCGCGAGGAGGATGAACTGAGGCCCAACCCCCTCACATTTGAGCCCATCGTAGAATCGGATGTTCTATTCTATGTGGGCCCGAGAGGTTCTTGCGAGAGGTTCTTGGGGAACTCTTGGGGCCATCTCACGGGCTCTCCCGGGCTCCCCGTGGGGCTATCTTGGGGCTCTCTTGCGGGTCTCTTGGGGCTCTCTTGAGGCTCTTTTGGGCAGTCTTGGGGCCCTCTTGGGGCTCTTTTGGGGAGTCTGGGAGGCCTCTTGGGGCCGTCTAGGACCCCTTCGCTCAAAAAGAGGAGGTAGTAAATTTAGCTCCCCCCCCTCGGAGGCCCAAAGGGGGCGTCTTGGGGCCCTCTTGGACCGCTCTAGGGGCGCTCTTGGGCGCTCTTGGAGCCGTCTTGTTGGGCCATCTTGGGGCCATCTTGACGCCTCAAGAGCCCATCGGAAACGAAAAAGCGAAAAGGAAACAACCATTGATTTTTCTAAGATTTTGAACCCATGTTGGCCTCTTGGGGGGGTCCTTGGAGGGCTCGGAGGGCACTTGAAACCGTCTTGGCGTCGTCTTGAGGCCTCTTGGATGCGCGTTGGAGGCTATCTTGAGCTGTCTTGAGGTATCTTGGGTGATCTTGGAGGCCATCTTGGGCTAGCTAAAGCCCTCTTGAAGCTGTCTTGGGTCGTCTTGGACGCTCTAACCCCTCGCGGGGGAGCCCGTCCAGACCCAGGGAGGGGTGGGGGGGAGGTAAACCTCCCGAGCAGGGAAAGGAAGGAGGCTGAACAAAGAAACCCTTTCGACCACCTGCGCCCAAAGGGCTGGTGGGATTTTCGCTGGCGTTGGGCCCCCAAGAATATTTACCGCCGGCCCTCGCGAGATGGCGGCTTCATTTTCGCCCGCGCCTCTGAATACAGATCGTTCGCAACATTGACAGCTATGGGAATTTGCATTATACAAATGTTCGTCACTTCTGCAGCAACCGCGCTCGCGTATTGCACGTATCCCGCGTTTGTTCGCATTCGCCTGCCTGGAGAACTACCACACGCGTTGATCAGCATGACTGCACCACGTCTTGCCGATATGATTTGAGAGGCGCGTCATGCGATTTTCTTTAAATGATAGTCTTCACCATCAACATCGTCATCAGCATCATCATATTCATTACATTCACCATTACCATTGGCGACCCTGAGATGGTGCATAATTTTCACTGGCGTTTGGGCGACGTATTTTTCGCCGGCGTGAAGATTTGGCCCTGGGATAATTTTCGCCGCAGTGCCACCCCCCACGACGTCAGCCCCTCACGTTAAAACATGGAAATATAGTATGTATGTATGCGTGTAAGTAATATATGTATAAATGTATGTATGTATGGATGTGTGTATGTATGTATGCATGCATGTATGTATGCACGTATGTGTATATAGGAATGCATGCATGCTTGCATGCATGTAGGTAGGTAGGTAGATAGGCAGGCAGGCATGTAGGTAGGTATTGTATACATTATATAGAATACACAGTTGGACCGAGGTATAAGATCGAGGTCTATTCGGGTAGCGTATCCTTGGATGTTCTTCGTTCTTGTTGGCCGTGCTTGTGCATCCTGGGGAGGGCACCCTTGGATGTTCTGTCTGTTTCGGCCGACGGGGGGTCTCATGTTCTTGAGGGATGTTCTTCTGGCCACCCTCCAATGGATTGTTCGTGGGCCTCAGGGGAGGGTGGCGGTGTAGAATTCACTACTGAGAGCCAACGGCTTTCTGCACCGCTGCCCTCTCTGAAGATCATCTCTATAGGTCTTCAGAGCCCAGAGCCCCCCCCCCCGGTGGAAACTACTTATCGCTTCGACGCCCTTATTGTTCGGACACAGGGGCAGCACCACGGGAACTTATAGCATAACTACCCAATTTGCGACCGTTTAGGTTGCCACCGTGCTCTCTCTTCCTCTCTCTCTCTTTCTCCGTAACCGTTCTCGCACAAGTAGTTCTTGAGGCCAGGTACTAACGAAATCTGATCACGTTAGCGTGAGCGGTCGACGGTTGATTGCGGACTTGCCAGGTAAACGAGACACCGGCAGGCATCGCCGCGATAAATAATTTGCCTGAGGTTACATGCAAAGTTCATCGGGGGTGACTGCGTATGTATTTCCGTGACGTTCCAGACCCTCCTGCGTCTCGCGAACAAATCGGGACGAAGGTTCTTCGTAGTTTTCAGCTCCTCGGGGCCCTCCCCGGGCCTCGGGACCGCCAAGAAACGACTCGAAGCAGTGGGAGCAGATATTGTTTGATTTTTGAATTCTTCATCGGTTTCGGCCTCTTGGCGGCATCTCGGGGACCTTATACCGGGCTTCGGGGCCGCAAGGAAGAACCGGCGCCGGGGAAGCGGTCAAGAGGTGGGGTGCCTGTGATCGAGTCGCCGGATGTTTGGGGATGGCTTGGGTGGACTGGCTTACCCATCGGTCGTTGAAAGTTCGGAAGTCAGGATTTGAATATACTTTAGGCGCCTGCCTACTTCAATGATCGAAAACTTCACCTTTTCCGTTCCCTTTAGGGGGGCGAATGGAAACCCAGTCTATTTTCAACGCCTTCCTATTTCATGTTTCCTACCTGCTTCTTCCATACGATTGGTAGGGGGGGACTGGCAACTTTTGAGGCTCGAGGTTTGCGGGCGCTTTCGTCGCTTCTCGGCGCCTGTCCAGCCTCGGGAAGTCTTCCAGCGGCTGCGCCTCGCCGAGATGGAGATGGAGCGTGCCCGGAGAGCACCAATCGCCTGAGGGTCCCGAAGGGTCCCCGGGGGCCCGAATTTTGACACGAAAACCGCCAGGGGACTGGCTCAGGGGGGGAAGCATCGATTTTGAATCGGCGATGCATCGCCGATGGAGGTGATAACTCCATGGTTTGCATAGCCCTGTCATCTTCTTCCCCATATCCTGAGATGGGTTCTTGTTATTACTTGGACGCCTGCTACTCCCTCTTCTTCTCCTCCCCTCCTCTCGGACTTACTCCTACTCAGACTGAATCATACCCAGACTTACTCATACACAGACTTACTCATACTCAGACATACTCATACTCAGACCTACTTATACTCAGACTTACGCATACCCAGACGTACACAAACACAGACTTACTCATACACATACTCATACCCATACTTACGCATACCCCATACACAGACTTACTCATACACAGACTTACTCATACTCAGACCTTCTCAAAGTCAGACTTACTCATACGCAGACTGACTCAACACACAGAAGATTCGGGGTATGTCTCAGGCGTGGCGCTGGCTTGAGCACCCCAAAGGGGAGCCGCCAGAGGTGTTTTCACGGGCCCGTTCGCGGCCAGTTTGTGGGGATGTCTCAGGCGGTTTGGCTGTTTTGGTGGGCAGACTCGGCTGCGTTTAGAGCAGTTATATACATGCATGCACACATGCATGCACACCTGTAGACATACATGCATATATGCATGCATGCATGCATGCATATATGCATACAGGCATGCAGACATGCATACACACATACGCATATGCATATAAACATACGTACATACACACATGCATACATGCATATACACTTACAAAACTACATACCTGGATGCACACGTGCATCCATACAATCACAAGTTGATACAGGCATGCATGCATACATACAGGCATGCATACGTTCATACGTACACACACACGCACATATACATACCTACATACATGCATGCATACATGCAGGTACACGTACCTACATACATACACACATGCATGCATGCATGCAGACATGCATGCACAAACAGACGAACAGACAGACAGACGAACAGACAGACAGACGAACAGACAGACAGACAGACAGACAGACAGACAGACAGACAGACAGACAGACAGACAGACAGACAGACAGACAGACAGAGATGCCCCCCCCCCCCTCATGGGCCCGCGGCGAGGCGCCAGCGCGCCGTCCAGCAGCACGCCGCTGCACGCGGCGCGCGCCCCCGGCCAGGCCGCCGCGCCGCCGCCGGGGCCGACCTCGGTCCTCTCGGGGCGGGGGGGGGGCTGCTCGGGCCGTCTGGCAAAAGCCCTCGAGAAGGAGGAGGAAGAGGAGGAGGAGGAGGAGGAGGAGGAGGAGGGGCAGGAGGAGGAGGAGGAAGAGGAGGAGGAGGAGGACCAGTGCAAACCCAAGAGTCATCAACGATGCTGGAAGAAACCCTCGCTCCAAGCTCCTACACGGGCTCATTTCCACTGAGGGAACTGCCTCGTTGGAAAGCAGCCGTTTCAAGCCGTGGATTCCAGCGCTACGGATCAACCTTAATGTTGCGTCTTGACGATCCTGAATCGTGAGAGAACGTCATTCCTGGGACTTCAGCACCGCGACCCAAAGTAACTGCTGCACCCTCAAAAACCAGAATCCATTTCTGGTACGCTGGTCATGGGAATTCGTAGAAACATATTGCAACCTTTATGTATGTGTATATATATATATACAAGATTGCAGTGACGCTTCGCGCCATGCACCTTGGTCCTTGAAGCTTGGTATGCAGGACGAATAGCAAGAAAGTCAAGCCGACAATTTAGCGATAACTCCTTGTTGCCTTCTCCGGCATCGCGGCTATGATAATGGTATTCGTTATCTTCCTCCATGCTTCTTTCTCCTCATGTTCGCCATACCCTGCGGATTCTCCCTATCCTCCTCAGCTTTTTTTTGCGGAGGCTCCTCCTGGGAGACCCTGGGGGCCTAACAAACATGGTTTCAGGTTTTCTTAAGGCCTTCTGGAGACCTCCTGGGCGTATTCTGGGGCCTCTGGGGGCTTCCTCGGGCCACCCTGCCTCCAACCACGGTCTCCCTGAACGACCGGGTCACGATTTGGAATGCTTCTGAAGGTGTCTTGGGGCCATCTTGGGCCGCCATGGGGCTCTCTGAGGGCCATTTTGGACCCGTGTTGTGTCGTTTTGGGGCTCTCTTGGACTGCCTGGAAGCCCTTCCCGATGGTTGTGGGGCGATTTTGGAGCCTCCCAGGCGGCTTCGGACGCCCAGAAGACCGCCGTCTTGGAGCGTCGGGAAGCCGCAGAGAGGAGAACCCAAAAAATCACCAAAAACTAAAAGACTATCCATGAGTTGTGCCTCTTGGGAGTGCTCTTGGAGGCCTCTTTGGGGCCGTCCTGGAGGCCTCTTGGGCCATCTTGAGGTCACGTCGGTCACTCTTGGAGCGCTCTTGCGCTGTCATGGGGGTCTCTAAGACCTCTCCGATGACCCCACTGATCGCTCTAGGTGTGCTGGGAAGGCTTGGCAAAACACAAAACACCCTCCGAGGCCAGGGGGGCCGTTTCGAGGCCCGTCCGGAAGGTCCCAAAACCCCAGATCCCGGGAGTCCGGTTTTGGAGGGGGGGGGATGGGTTTTCCCCCCGCCCGGGCTTATAAAAAGAAGGAAGAGGAATATACATAAGTCAAAGACGGATGCACGCGCCGCTAAGGCGAACAACACATCTTGACAAGGAACCGCCCTCAATCCGTGAAGCTCGGGCAAATGCTTAAAACGAATATGCGCGGCACTAAACCGAAAACAAAATTTGGAAACGACCAGCCCTCCATCTGTGAAACTGTTGTCAACCTCGAAACTTCAAGGTCATAAATGGTGAGGACACCTTCGGCGAAAGAAGTTGTCTATAAGGAAGAGAAATGGAGGCGGAGGAGAAGGAGGACGGAGAGGATGAGGATGAGGATGAGGAGGAAGAGGAGGAGGAGGAAGAAGAGGAGGAGGAGGAACTGACCGAAGGCCCCAAGGGGAGTGCACAACACTAAAAAAAAGAGCGAAACTTGGTAGGGCACCGACTAGGGGGCCGCCGGCTCCGCTAAAAAAGGCCCGATCCAAATCGAACAAATCTAACTACGGGAAGCGGCCGCTTGGGCTTGTTCCTTGGTTCGGACCCTCTCATAGAAAGCCGACGCACGCTGCTCGCAGGGGGGGCCGCATCCGAACTCGCATGTGAGGTCCTCGTACGACGGTCGGAGCGTCTGGAGCAGGAGGGGCAATGGAGAGGCCAAGCCCATCGAGCGGCACAGCACGGTCGATGGCTGCCCGAAGTCTGGGGTATTCAAGAAAAATAAGCAACAAAACTTTCCCTGATGGAGCCTCACACGGTCGGCCGAGCTTTCAACCCCTCCCCCGAAACCACCCCCCGCAGCGCAAGCAGAGGATCTGCTCCTTGGACGAAGGCCGACACGACTCCAGGAGAACGCCAGAATGCCGACCAAGTCCCGCCATGGCGACGACGCTGTGACCCATGGGATCGCGGAGCAGACCCCGGAGGAAAGGCGAGAGCCCTCTGCAACTATCCATCGGGACGATGTCGAGGCCGCCTTCTGCAACTAGGAAACAACGCACGCACTGAGGCCTCAGCTCGCTCTTTCTCCAATCATGCCACGACGCTTGTCGTCGTTGTCTTGCAGCTGCCAGTGGGGCCTTGCCCACCGAGGAGCATTGTCAACAAGCGGGATCTCTTTTGCTGCGAGCTCGGCGAAATATCCTGCTCGCTCTCCCGCGAGACATAACTCTTGCGCGAACTCTGGCGGAGGAGCAGGAGGAGGAGGAGGGGGGGAGGAGGAGAGCGCACTCCGTTCCCGCCGTAGGTTATCCCGCCCCAGCCGCCGCCTTGTGGAACGTCGACTCAGACTGGCTCCTCTGACAGAAGCCGTCGAGCAGAAGCAGAGGCAGCAGCGATCGAACGAACACGAGCCCGAATTAATCGAGACGCGCGCACACGATCAGGAAAACCGCAGACATGGAGCTGATTGACCGCATTCAAGGTTACATCGAGAGCAACGCTGATCTGTAGAACAACCTGGCGAGAGAGCGAAGGGGGGATCCCAAAGATCCAGGAACTAACCTCACCCGTGGCCCAATTAGGAGGAAGGAGGGGGGGAGGGCCATCCCATCAGGTTGAACTGCAGAACGACGGAGGTAATGCTGGAGAGTATCCCCACCGATGGCCGCACATCCAAATAGACAGATCTGGGCCCCCGATCTATATCGGGACGTGGTGTCCCAGCAATTCGAGATGGTCTTCAGGGTGGAGGTGAGGATGAACGGAGGAAGATCACGCCCAACAAGCTCTATTCGCATAAGCTGACGATCGACGATCTGCTCAGAACATTCAGGATAAAAGTGCTTGATGCGCGTGAAGACTGAACGACGGTAACTGGGAAGGGGCACGATGAAACTGGCATAGTCGCATTGCTTTCGCCTGCAGACCGACGAGCAGCGGGTCGGTCGGGATGCCAGGCAGTGTAGACAGCTCCGTCCACACGGAGTCGAGGTACTCTAGAATTAATTTCTTCTAGCGCTGCTGCGACCGATATGCTACCGCCCGGTCATCTCCCCCAAACACATCGGCAAGCTTTCTCTTGTTGCGGTCAAAGGCCACACACTTACAGCATGCTCTATAGGCAGCAGCTTTACAATGCAGATCTAATCTTCACACATCAATCGCGAAGCCGAGAGCGGCCAGGTTATATTATGCAAAAGGTAATCGCGTTGTTGGGGCCACAAGTTAAACGTGCTATGACTTTCGCTTCGACCTTCAATATCTGAGCAGACGGAGGGAAGATCTGCGCGACGCACGTACAAACAGGGAAGCAGTATATGTTATACACCTCCACATTTTGACAGAAAGACAGGCCGAGCGACTTAAGATGGAAGCTTCTTTTGGCAAGGGAGGAGGCCGGCCCTTGCCGCGAGAGCTCCCGAGAACCATTCCCAAGAATAATGCCCAAATATTCCCCATGACCAGATAGCTTGAACTTATCCTCCTCCTCACATGGAGCTCATCCTCCTTCTCCTCCTCCTCCTCCTCCTCGTCCTCCTACTCCGCCTCCTCCACCTCCTCCTCTCCTCCTGCCTCCCTCCTCCTCCTCCTCCTCCTCCTCCTCCTCATCATCATCATCATCATCATCATCTTCCTCCTCCTCACCTTCGTGAGGGAGCAGCGGCCGTGGGCGATACGTGCTCGCTCATGCGCCAGGAGCTGCGGCGGGCAACGGGACTCCGGTGATGCGGCGCACTGCATGGGGCAGGAGTTCGGGGCTGAGCCTGGGAGGCCAGCGGAGCGCCTTGTGGAGGCCTGCCTGCCAGGAGTGCGGGCCATCGACCGAGGCGAGCGCACGCTGCCGTCCGAGCCCTCCTCCACATCCAGGGTAAGATAGCTATAGTCTCGGCCTCTACCTGCGCAAACTGGGGGGCTCCGGAGGGGCCGCGGTGGAAAGCCAGATCAGATGTAGGCCTGTGGCGTGATGCTCGGGTCGCCCATGAGGCCCACGACGGGCCCACCAGTTTCCCCAAGACCGAGTCCCAACCTAAAGAGTAGGACTGGGTCAAGTAAAATATCCAGCCCTGAGCCTGTTCAGCCAAGACGTAACAAGCTTGCCGATGATGTGGCCGCTGATGCAACGACCGACCTTCAGCTCCCCCATAATGCTGTTGATGACGGCTTGGAAGCCGACCGAAAGATGCGCTTAGTCACTGGCCGCCTCGCCACCGTTCAGACGAAGTTCTGGAGTGGCTTCGCAGCCCCGCCGCCTCTCCCTCGACCCCGCCGGCCGAAGCGGTCCCGAAAATGGGCACACGCTCACCACCTGACGGAGGAGTGCAAAGACAGGCGTCAGCGTCATAGCTGTTTTCGCTATCCACTCATGGGGGGGGCGACGGCCTCAGGGGCTGCGCAGCCCTGCACCCTGCACGGTGCACCACGCACAGGAGTGCCACAGCGCACACATGCTCCACTCGCAGGGTTTCGGGGAGCGGCATGTTGCTCGCGCTGAGGAATCTGGAATATGTCAAAATCCCGCAAGCTCGGAGGCGGGCGCGGCCCCGCCACGTGAACGGGCGCCCGTGCTAGCTTCCTGAGCGTGCCCGTGCTTGCTTCCTGAGAGGACAGCTGCCCTAGGGGATGCTGCGCTGGCCTCCCTCTCGCTGCGCTGTCCCCAGGAGGCGCGTGCGTGGGCGACGCGGAATGCCCCTCCACAGGATTCCAGAATGAGTCGACAACGGGCCATCGGAATGCGAAGACTCCCTCTGATCGCTGGCTACGTGGCGGGTTCCGGAAACCCTGAACTCCCTAAAGATGTCATCTCTTGCGAAGGTGTTCTTGCTCGGCGTTCCGACATTGGTCGGAAGAGGGGGGGAGAGGGGGCGGGGTTCTGGCTCCGGACCTCTGCCTAGTGCGACTGTTTGCACCAGCGCGTCCCATAGGGGAGCCGTCCACCTGCTGGAAACATGCGCCCAAAACAGCCAAGTTCTACTCCATCGGGGGGGAGGGGGAGGAGGAGTGCGAGGGCCCTCGCCGATCGGCAAAACGAAGGATAAGACATCGATTTCTTGGAGGACGGATGGTTTGATGCCGCCAGCTTCCGCCGGCCTTCGGCCAGCTTTCGCCGGCGGAACCGCCCCAGTGGTATTGCCGCCGCCTCCCGCGGGCTGTCCGCCGCCTCCCGCCGAGGGAGGCCCTTCCGCGGGCTTTCATCTCTTTCGACCCTCGAAGGCCCTGACTCCTCCTCTTCCTCCTCCATTCCTTGTCCTTATAAATCCATTCTCCCGGTCGCACCCCGAGGCAAGCTTTTAGAGCGGGCCAGGCGTGTCGCCCGAGACTTCCTCACCACTCATGACTCTGAAACTTACAAAAACTGCAACGGTTTCACAGACACAGGGCGGGCCGTTCTCACCATGTGGCTCTCGCCTCAGCGCGGCGCACACTCGTTTTAAACATCTGGAAGGGTTTCACGGATCGAGGGCGGTTCCTTCTCAAAATGTGACTCTCGCCTTAGCGCGGCGCGCGTTCGTTTCGAAAAATTGCAAGAGCTTCGCGGACTGAGGGCGGGCAATTTTCAAAATGTGGCTCTCGCCCTGGCGCGGCGCACATTCGTTAAACAAATTGCAAAGAGTTTCACGGATTGAGGGGGGTCTCCGCCTTAGCGCCACGCGCATTCGTTTACAAGATTTGCAAGAGTTGCACGGGTTCCCATCATCAGCGTGCCAGAAATTGTGTTTCGAAAGGATTCCGGATTACGCAGGTGCAACAATGGCATGCTTCAGGGTCTTTAAACGGTTGCCTTCCAAAGAGGCACTCCCCCCAATGGAAATGCACCGATGCAGTGGCCCAGAAGAGGGAGCTTGGAGGGAGGGTTTATTCCACCGTGACTCTTGGGTTGACACTGGTCCTCCTCCTTCCCCTCGTCCTCCTCCTCCTCCTCCTCCTCCTCCTCCTCCTCCTCCATCTCGTTCCCCTCGTCTTTCCCCTCGTCCTCCACCTTCCCCTCGTCCCCCCCCTCGTCCTTCGCCTCGCCCTTCCCCTCGTCCTCCTCCTTCCCCTCGTCCTCCTCCTCCCCCTCGTCCTCTCCCCTCGTTCTCTCTCTTCCTCCTCTACCTCCTCCTCCTCCTCCTCCTCCTCCTCCTCCTCCTCCTCCTCCTCCTCCTCCTCTCCTTCCCCTCGTCCCCCCCCTCGTCCTTCGCCTCGCCCTTCCCCTCGTCCTCTCCTTCCCTCGTCCTCCTCCTCCCCCTCGTCCTCTCCCCTCGTTCTCTCTCTCTTCCTCTCTACCTCCTCCTCCTCCTCCTCCTCCTCCTCCTCCTCCTCCCTCCTCCTGCTCCTCCTGCTCCTGCTCCCCCCGTTCTCTCTCTTCCTCCTCCACCTCCTCCTCCACCACCTCCTCCTCCTCCTCCTGCAGCTCCGAAGCCCGGAGCGCGGTCCACAGCCCGCTGCGCAGGTCCAGCACCCACAGGTCCCTCAGCTTGGTGTTCCCTGCTCGGGCCGCGGGGGGGGGCCGGGGCCCCCCCGGGGAAGAGGACGGCACTGCACACGGAAGCTCAGCTACCCCGATACGCAACACTGAAGGGGCCCAAGGACACACAAATAAATACACACAAATAAAACTATGCCCCATAGTTTTCCATACTTTTAGGGTGTTTGTCTTCCCCGCCACTTCCCATATTTCCCCATATTTTCAAAGGGATCGACGATTAATTGTGTCTGTGTGTTTTGTCCCCTCCTGAAACACGCAACACGCATCGCATTGATACGGAGCGCAGCACGCAGGCTGAAAACGCAGGTCCGACGCGATGCGTTCGCCAAAGCGTGGTCCACTACGTGGAGCCACCACGCAGCGTATCGGCACGGACGTCTTGAACACGGGGCGTGTTGCGTTTCAAGACGCGCGTATCGAGGCAACTAAGCACGGAGGCTTTGAACATTCCGTCTGGGGAGAGCGAATACTAGAGAATGCCTCGACCCCCAGCTGCAGTTTTCTCAGTCGCGCCAGCGTCCTCGATTAGTAACGTCCCCGTTCACGGGACCCTGAGGGAGGGGCAATTTTCTGTGGCAACGCACGGGCTCATGGGAGCCTCCCGTCCCATCTTGTTGGATCTTGCGAATCGACGCAAAAAGACGCTACACGACGCTGATCGGCAAGTTAATCGGCGCTAAAGCGCTATCGCACCGATTCCCAGCCGCTAGCCGATGCGAACACACTCCAAACACGGAATTGCGACGGTGTGCAAGTCTCCCATGGTTTGCAACCGAACGCCGCGGGCGCCAGGGTCCAGAAACTCGATATAAGCAGGGTCGTCAGAGGTCTTGGTCGTCGTCCTGACGACCTGGCAGGTTGTCCGAGACTCGTCGAAGATGTTTGGAGCGCTCTCGGAGCTGCTTGGGGTGCCCGTCGCCATGACGGGTCAGCACTGGCAGTGCCACAGCTATCGGATCGCGACAGGTGTAGATGAAGGGGCCCACAAACATACAAATAAATACACACAAGTAAAAAGATTCCCTATATTTTCCCATATGTTCTGGGTGTCTGTCTTCCCCCCACTTCCCATATGTTCCCATATTTTCCTGGGAGGGGGCGATTAATTGTGTCTGTGTGTGTATGTGTGCGTGTGCGTGTGCGTGTGCGTGTGCGTGTGCGTGTGCGTGTGCGTGTGCGCGTGTGCGCGTGTGCGCGTGTGTGCGTGTGTGCGTGTGTGCGTGTGTGCGTGTGTGCGTGTGTGGTGTGTGCGTGTGTGCGTGTGTGCGTGTGTGCGTGTGTGCGTGTGTGCGTGTGTGCGTGTGTGCGTGTGTGCGTGTGTGCGTGTGTGCGTGCGTGCGTGTGCGTGTGCGCGCGTGCGCGTGTGCGCGTGTGCGCGTGTGCGCGTGTGCGCGTGTGCGCGTGTGCGCGTGTGCGCGTGTGCGCGCGTGCGCGGGTGCGCGCGTGCGCGCGTGCGCGCGCGCGGGCGCGGGCGCGGGCGCGGGCGCGGGCGCGGGGCGCGGCGCGGGCGCGGGCGCGGGCGCGGGCGCGGGCGCGGGCGCGGCGCGGCGCGCGCGGCGCGGCGCGGGCGCGGGCGCGGGCGCGGGCGCGTGCGCGTGCGCGTGCGCGGCGCGTGCGCGTGAGCGCGCGTGCGCGCGTGTGCGCGTGCGCGTGCGCGTGCGTGTGCGTGTGCGTGTGCGTGTGCGTGTGCGTGTGCGTGTGCGTGTGCGTGTGCGTGTGCGTGTGCGTGCGTGTGCGTGTGTGCGTGTGCGTGTGCGTGTGTGCGTGCGTGTGCGTGTGCGTGTGTGTGGGTGTGGGTGTGGGTGTGGGTGTGGGTGTGGGTGTGGGTGTGGGTGTGGGTGTGGGTGTGGGTGTGGGTGTGGGTGTGGGTGTGGGTGTGGGTGTGGGTGTGGGTGTGGGTGTGGGTGTGGGTGTGGGTGTGGGTGGGTGTGAGTATGGGTATGGGTGTGGGTGTGGGTGTGGGTGTGGGTGTGGGTGTGGGTGTGGGTGTGGGTGGGGGTGTGGGTGGGTGTGGGGGTGTGGGGGCGTGTGGGTGTGTGGGTGTGTGGGTGTGTGTGTGTGGGTGTGTGTGTGTTTTCCCTCCCGAGTAGAGACCCCCAGGACCTCCACTGATTTTTGGTGTGGGAACGTCACGCTTTCCATAGCAAAACCATCGGAACCCAGGACACCCAAGGCACCCTGGAGGCAAGCAGGGTGTTTGTTGGCATGGGTCTCCACTGTACGCAGTCCCCACGAGAGCTGGGTCATGAAGCGCCCCCTCCTGCCCCTGCAGAGCCCAGACATCCGACGGTGCCGAGACATCGCTTGCTGGAGCCAGCGGGCCAGTCTTCACGCGGGACGTTTCTCGAGCCGGCCAGAGCTGTGAAGGCCCTGGGGACCCGAGCTGGGACAGGAGACGCTTGCCATGTGTGCGATCGCAATGCCCAGATGTCGGGGGAGGGGGTGCCGAAAAACGGAGACGCCTGCCATGTGTGCGATCACGATGCCCAGATTAGGGGAACGAAGAATGACATAAACATACAAACGCGGAGATCCGCGCGGATCTCTCGGATCAGCACGGAGGCGCCGCCAAGGGGTCCCAGCGCCGATCCGAGAAACTCCGCGCGGACCTCCGAGGTTTCATATCGATGTCATTCGTCGTTCCCCTACAGATGTCGGGGGAGGGGGTGCCGAAAAACTGGAAGAAGGAGAGCAGGGAAGGCCGAGCCTTTTTGAGTGGAGCTCACGCCGATGTCGCCGCCGAAGAGCACCAGGGACGAGCCGCCGGCCTGTGGGGGCGCCAATGGCGCACCGACACTGGTCCTGGCCAAGCCCCTGCTGGGCCCAGGATCGGTGTGTAGACTCCCTGGACCGAAAAAAACACACACGCACAAGCAGTAGGTCGGGCATGTCCCCCTACAGGTGGATTTCGGAAGAAAACGTAAAACAGAGTCAAAACATATCTAATCATTCTCGAAAATAATCCGAAAGTCGTCCCCAATATTTTGACTATTTTTGAGTATTGTTCCTTCGGAGGGACGTGATCGACCTAACACAAGCACTACCAATCCTAGGGGGCCGAGTCCTGGAAGTGGCCCAGATGAATGCAGGTGCAAGTATACGGCAGGCTCCTGGCGTGACGACGTCGGCTCTGGCTTTTGGCTTCCCTGACAACGCGCAAGTCGTCCCCCCTTTTGAGAGCCCCAAAACCAGGTGGTAAGATATCGGGTGGTGACCCAGGATCCCCAACTAGCCACCGCCCGGTCTGGAGCACGGGGTCTCCGCCGGGTTTTGTGACTCCCGGGCCCCGCCTTACTTTTCAAGCCCCGCTGATGCCAATTTCCGCTCTACTTTTCTGTGGCTGTTTCCGCCCTACTCCTGTGGATTTTCGCCGCATTTTATGTGGGGTGCATAAATTTCCGCCCTACTTTTTCGGCCTCTTCTAGGTGGATTTCCGACGCAATTTTAAGTTGGAAAAGAAGCCAAAGTAGGTCGGATCTGGAGTCAGGGCAGGCGCCGGGCGCCGTCCGAGAGCGTCGCGGCGAAGCGCCGGCATTTGGGGTGTTCCGGTCGGAGCTTCTGCCGGGGCGCTGTGCCGAGAGCCGTTCCTTAAGGTCTGGTAGTCCCCACGGCGTGGTGGTGACAGCACCTTGGCGGTGGGTCTCGGGTGATGTCTGGTGCCACCACCCGGTTTGGGGACGCGTGTGTTTTCTCGTGGGCCCGGCCCTGACTCCAGATCCGCCCTACTTTGGCTTTTTTTCCAACTTAGAATTGCGTCGGAAATCCACCTAGAAGGAGCCGAACAAGTAGGGCGGAAATTGCTGCACCCAACAGAAAATGAGGCGAAAATCCACAAAAGTAGGGCGGAAACAACAACAGACAAGTAGGGCGGAAATTGGCATCAGATGGGCTTGAAAAGTAAGGTGGAAATTCCAAGCCCTACTTACGAATTTCCCCAAAGTAGGGCGGATCCGGAGTCAGGGTTCCTTGGGCGGGGGGGCGGGGAGGGGGGGACCAGAAGCACACACCGATGCAACTGCTCTCCGGACCTCTGCCAGGGTGCGCGGCCTGGCCAGGATCTCGAGGCGAACCCAGCCGTGGCAACGAGGGCCTCCCAGGGGGCCCAGAAAGCTTTTTTGGGGCGCATCCAGCCGTGGCGACGAGGGAAGCGTGCAGGCGTCGTGCTGCCACGAGGAGGGCCGAAGCGGGGACGGGTGGGCCCGGTCTGGCCACGGTGCGCCGCGGCCACGGCAGGGCTCCCCGGACCTGGGTGCCCGAGGGAGGGCCCGACAGCCGGGGCCCCGTCCCGAGCCCAGAGTGGTCCTACAAGCCTCGTCAAAAAGAAACAGAAACGCAGTAGGAAATCACGACGATCGATCTTCTCGGGCACTTGTTAGAAACTGCGTTCTTCAATGCTGCGGAGGGGTCGTCGGATGTTTGAAGCCCCTGCGTCCACGTCAGACATCTGGCGTCAGCATTGGAGTAGCGCTGACCATACAATCACCGAAAACAGAATCCCTCCGTTTATTTTTGACGAGGGCTGCAAGGGCAACGCCCTGGCTGTGGCGCTATAGGGGGTGCAGGCGGAACCTGGGCCGGAGGAGCCGCCTGCAAAAACGCGGGGCCCTCCGCCGGCCAAGTCACCCCCAGGCCCTGAGGTCCTTCGAGGGCACCCATGTCCCAGGATGCACGAGAGCCTCCAGCAAGCACGAAGAGCACGAGGGCACCCGGGGACCCTCCCCGAACCTACCTCGACATTCCACCTCGGTCCGACTGTCGTTCTATGCGTGGGCAGACTGTCCTCCTCGGAGTCTGGGCCCCCCCGGTGGTTGGCGGTCCCCCGGACGGCCGTGCCCTCCGCGGGCATCGGCACGACCACGTGGGCCATGCGGGCCTCGGGCCGCGACAGGAGGGGGGGGAGCAGGTCCAGGCAGGGGCCGCCGAAGAGGAGGGGGTGGGGGGGCAGGAGGGAGGGGGAGATTTGGAGGAGAGAAGAGGAGGGAGGGCTACGAAGCCGAAGGCGGGGGGAGAGGAGAAGGCGGACGAGGGGAAAGAGGAAAATTCGGCGGAGAAGGCAGCGCGGATGATGAGACATAGACATGGAGGAGCAGACTCCTCCACATCCTGATCCTCCACCTCCCACTGCCACTCGAACTCCGCTTCGGCATTTTCTGTCATCCCGCCATCGACCCTCCTCCTCCTCCTCCGCTCGCGGGGGGGCGTCCGCCAGATGGAACGCACGCCACGGCGGAGCTGGTGATTAGCGCCGACGCCCCGCCGCCAGCGGGAGGGCGACAAACGAAGCAACGTCTCCGCTACAGCAGGGCGTTCGGGCCAAATTGGCCGCGGACTCGGGGGGAGGAGGCGGGAGGGAGTGGCGGCAGAGGCAAGTGCCGTCGCCGCCTCTGCCGTCGCCCTCCCCGCCGCCGCTGTCGCGTTCCTGCTTTGCTCGCGGTGTCCCCCTGTGGTGCTGCCAGGCAACCAATCCGTCGCCGTGGGCGGAGCTTCTCTCGCTGCGGCGGAAACGCGCCGAACGAAAAACTGCGACAACGACCATTCGGGAAACGCGGGTAGGACGATCGAACGAGCCCCCCAACGAAACCTCGAGCGTCGACCGGCGCACACCCACAAGCCCAATGCAGCGGGCAGCGCGCACTGCAGGGCCCGCGAACGAACGAGGCTGCTTGCTCTTGGGACAACGCGCAGGCTCACACGCGCAACGCTCACACATGCACTGCGCTGCACCATGCGGGCGCGCCCCCCCTCGGAAGCGGCGCGTCGTTCATGCCGTGTGTCCTCATCCGCATCGCAATGGCATTCCGAACCCTGGCGCGCGCGGCGGGGTCTATTCATCAGCGTTGGGGGGCCACCCTTACCATTGCCTTACCATTGCGCTGATCTGGCCTCTATCCGCGGAAGCGTGGCATAAGGGGCCTGGAACTTCTAGGAAGACCCTATCGTGTTATGGATAATCGGAACATTTGGCTGCGTGCATAGGAGGAGGGAGAGGAAGAGGTGGCGGATGAAAAGGAGGATGAGCAGGAGGAATTTGACGATTTTGACATGAGCTGTGCCTTGGAGAGCGGTGCGCGCCAAGGAGATTATTAGGATGCCAGAGAGCGAGGAAAAAACAAACACATACCCATGGAGAGCGCGAGCGACAGCCAGAAACTGCGAACAAGCACAGACGGCCTGAGTGCGGCACTGCACGAGTAAAGCACCACGCGTTGACCCGACCTCGGCGGCGGCGGCCCGGGAGGCCAGGACTCGACGGGGCCGGAAACCCCGACCTTGGGCAGCCCAGGGAAACCTGGAAGACACATGCAGTTGAGCACGCTTTCTACATCGAAAACGCAGCAAAGACAAACGCCAACACCACCACCAACACCACCACCACCACCACCAACGACAACAACAACAACAACAACAGCAGCAGCAGCAGCAGCAGCAGCAACAACAACAACAACAACAACAACAACAACAACAACAACAACAACAACAACAACGACGACAGCACCATCAACGACAACAACAACAACAACAACAACAACAACAACAACAACAACAACCGCAACGATCAGTTTACCCTCGTGCGCCATGCTTCCACATGTCACACGCGTCCTTCTGGATACCACACCCCACCATGGCGGATGCGTATGGCGCGCGGGGCTCGACATTCCCTCGCCCAGATCTCCAGCCCAAGAAAGCGCTGCCGCCACCTCTCCCGAAGAACTTCGACACCCACAGCTCGGACGGCACAACCTCATTGCAACCGCCTTGCGCGCGCCCCGCATTTCGGAGGAGGAGGATGAAGAGGACGAGGAGGGGGGGGGGGGAAGATGCGGGAGAGGAAGAGGGAGAGGAGGAGGATTGAGGAGGAGGGAGGGGGGGGGAAGGAGGAGTAGTTGTAGTAGCAGTGCCTCCGAGGACGAGGTGGTTCTTACTCCTCGTTCGGACTGTTGTCATTATCCTGCGGCCTCGGCGCGCGGCCCTGAACGTTTACGCCCCCAGGCGCTGCCGCTCCCATGCTCGCATCCTCCATCTGCCCCATCCACACCCTCTGAAGGAATCCCTGATGTCAATCCTTCGAACCTCCTTCCTTGGAGCCCCTGGAAGTCACCCATCCTCCTCCTTCTTCTCCTCGTCCACATTATCTATGCTGTCCGAAAATGAGAATGATCCAAGAGTTAAGGTTCAACAAGGACTCTTGGAACCCCCCCAGAGGCGATGCCGAAACGAGGGCCCCAGTCTTGAGCAAAAGGAGACGAAATATAAAACGGGAGCGACGAGGGAGGACGGAAAAGGAAAGGAGGAGGGAGAAAGGAGGCAGGACAAGGGAGGAGACACAGGGGGACGAAAAGGGTAAAGACGAGAGAGGAGGAGGGAGGAGGAGAGATGAAAAAGGGACGGGAAAAGAGAGGAGGGAGGAGGGAGAACAGGAGGGGGTGGAGGGAGGAAGACGGAGGAAGAGAGAGGGGGACAGAGAGAAAAGGAGGAGGAGGAGGAAGAGGAGGAGAAAAAGGAGGAAGAGAAGGAAGAGGAGGAGGAAGAGGAGGAGGATGAGGAAGAGGAGGGAGGAGGAGAGGAGGAGGAGGAGGAGGAGGATGAGGAGGAGGGGAGGAGAAGGGGGGAGGGAGGAGGAAGGAGGAAAGGGGGACGGAGGAGGGAGGAGGGAGAAGAGGAGGGGGTGGAGGAAGGAAAAGAGAGGAAGAGGAGGGAGGGGGGAGGAGGGAAGAGGAAGAGGAGGAGGAGGAGGAGGAGGAAGAAAAGGAGGAGGACGACGAGGACGAGGAGGAGGAGGAGAAGAGGGCGCCAGTCCAGCGTAAAACGGGAGGAAGTCTCGGGCGGGAGCGCTGGTTTTGTCGGGACGGCTGCTTTCGGCGGCGAGCAAGAGCACCGCCTTGAGTAAAAAAGGGAGGAGGTCTCGAGCGGGAGCGTTGTTGTTGCTGGGGGGCGGCGCCGATGAGAGAAAGAGTAGCGCGCCTGTCCAAGGTAAAACGGGAGGAAGTCTCGAGCGGGAGCGCTGGTTTTGTTGGGACGGCTGCTTTCGGCGGCAAGCAAGAGCACTGGCCCTGAGAAAAAAAGGAGGAAGTCTCCAACGGGAACGTTGTTGTTGTTGGGGGGCCGGTTTTGGCCGCCTCCCCCCCCAACCGCTTGAGAGCGAGCTTCATTTTCAATGGAAATGCAACTGGCGCCTCGGCGAGAGCGCCAGGGTGCCTGTAGGGGGTCCAACAATAATAATTGTTTAGTAATTAACATTCAACAGCAACAACAACATCAACAACAACAACAAAAACAACCACAACAACAGCAACAACAATCATTGTAAGACTGTTCGTTCTTACTTGCCCGCGTGTCATTCGAAACGAGTTCCCCACACCCTCGATACCTGCCCTTATGGCGAGAGCGCGATTACTAAGTAAATTTTAAAAGGGTCCTTGGCGCAGCGTGTTTCCTGAGCATCGGAGGCGCGATTTCTGAATAAAATGTAAAGGGTTCTCTGGCGGGAGCGGGGGTCTTGATTAAATTGCGAGGAAGTCTTGATTCAATTGCGAGGAAGTCTCAAGCGGGAGCGCCGTTCGTGAGTGAATTGTGCGGATGTCTCAGATGGGAGCGGAGGTCCTGGCTAAATTGAGAGGGCGTCACAGGCGGGAGCACCGATCCTGAGAAAATTGTGAGGAAGTCTCAGGAGCGGGGGTCCTGAGTAAATTTTGAGGAAACCTCAGGCGGGAGCCGTTGTTGTTGTAATCCGGGGGGCCAGGGGCACAGTTTGAGCACCAAGACTTTCCCTGTTACAAACAGGGTGCGAGCGTCGAGGGGCACACGTTGATTGAGAAAAACAATATGCAGCGGTGAGGGTGGATCAACAATAATTATTCTTCAGAAATTCGAAATTAACAACAACAACAACAACAACAACAGCAACAACAACAACAACAACAGCAACATCAACAACAACAGCAACAACAACACCTACACCTACACCAACAACACCAAAAACAAATCCAACAACAAACCCAACAACACATACAACAACAACACCAAAAACAAATACAACAACAAACAGTTTAAAACTGTTCGCTCCTTCTGCTCACGTGCCAATCAATACGCATAACTATCCCAAAAACTCGGTACCCGCCCTCGTCGTCTTCGATCGTACCCCCTTGGGGGTATACCTTCCTTACCTGCCACGTGTATTTAATGCAGCCCCTAAAACAAGGGAAGAGAGGACGGGTGGAAGGGGGAGGGAGAAGAATGGAGCACGAGAGAAATTAGCATGAGGGGGGCAAGGAGCAGAAAACAAGTGGTAGAACCAGACGGGCAGATCGGGTGGGCAGACCCATAGCGGGCAGGTCGGGAAGGCGGGCCCAGGCGACGAGGTCGAGCAGGCGGGTTGCTGAAGCGTTGGATCGCGAGGAAGTCTCGAGCGATAGCGCGATTCCCAAATGAATCGTGAGAAAAGCCAGCGTGGGCCACGAAGGTCCTGAAATCCGAGGCCACAGAAGGCAGCGACGGAGCCGCTGAGGGCAGCACCGGGGCCACGAAGGGCAGCAACGGGGTCACAAAGGGCGACAGCGGGGGCCACGAAGGGCATTCGTATACGGGGCCACAAAGAGCGACAGCGCGGCCACTGACGGCAGCAAAGGGGCCACGAAGGGCAGCGAGGGGGCCACGAAGGGCGACAGCGGGACTACGAAAGGCATGCGTATGGGGCCACGACGGGCGTGCGAGCGGGGTCCACGAAGGGCATATAATACGGGGCCACAAAGGGCAGCGACGGGGCCACTGAGGGCAGCAACGGGGCCACGAAGGGCTGCGAGCGAAGGCGACCGCGGAACCAGCACGGGCAGCGAGGGGCATCGAAGGCGGGCGAAGGGCAGCGAACGG